AGGAGAGGGGAGTGGGGAGAGAAAGAGAGAGGGGGAGAGAAAGAGAGAGAGACACACACATATCAATGGGAGAGAGACACATTGATTGGCTGCCTCCTGCATGCCCCCTGACTGGGGCCAGGGATCGAACCTGCAACCCAGGTAAGTGCCCTTGATCAGGAATTGAACCCGAGACCCTTCAGCGTGCAGGCTGATGCTCTAACGACTGAGCCACACAGGCCAGGGCTGGAGTGGTTTGGAACATGGCTTCTGAGATCAGAAGGTCCAGGTTGGAATCTGGCTCTATAACCAGCTATATAGCCTTCAGTGTTACTTAACCTGTTGTGCCTGTTTTCTCATCTGGTAACCAGAGATAACAACACCTGCATGGCAGGATTAATGAAAGACTAAATAAGTACATGTAAAGTCTTTAGCACTGTGTCAGACAAAAAGTGCCTAATTCTTTCCACTGAGTTCAGCACAGGTCCCCATTCATGGACCCTAAAGTCCTCTCTCAGGGTAGGAAAGGAGGAAGGACATGAGCCCTTTCAATGGTTTAGAAAGATTTGTGTACAGCTGCCTTATCAATCCGCTTGCATACTGTTCTATCCCAGGATGCGCACAGTGGATCAATAAATAATTAGGAGAATTAAGATTCAGAAAGGCTTCAGCAGTTTTTGGTTATGTTTTACTTTTTTTTTAAGGGAAGTTTGAATGAATGGGTTTATTTGGCCTTCTTAGTCAGCCACCATACTTAATATTCATTACATTTAAAAGGTTATCCATCAATTTTTTCCTGCTAAAACACAAAAATAGTCTTCTTGTTAAAACAAAAGTATTTAATATGTATGAGGAGGGAGCATCTGAAGCAGCAGCCCCAGAAAGAAGAGGCTGTGGCCTTGAGTGTAGGTCTAACGGGACCAGGTAGGTCAAAGGCAGTGAGCAAAGTCCAGCTGGTTTAACTTGCGCTTATAAACTACCCAATGTTGCAGACTTGGAGGGAGGGTGACACTGTCGATCACAGTGGTTCTGAGGGTTTGTCTTCTACTTCTGGGCTTGACTGCCTGGAAACCCACAATGAAAGAGAAAGAGAAACCTATCCAGTGTTAACATTTGATGTTTTGAAACTAATATAACTGAGCTTATCTTTGAGAGTTTTGTTACCAATGTCATACATACTTGTTCTAGAAGCCTTTAAAATAAATCCTTGGTTTAATTTCTCTAAAACACTGAGAACACAGAAACATCTATATAAGCACTGTCCAATAGAAATGCAATGCAAACCACGGAGATACTTTAAAATTATCTAGTAGTGCATTTAAAATGGCAAAAAGAAACAGGAGAAATTAATTTTAATACTATGTTTACCCTAATACATCAAAAAATATTCTTACATGTGCTCAGTATAAAAATATTAACAAGACATTTTAAAAATATATTAATTGTTGTACTACTGCATAAACTAGTATAATCTGACTTCTTGTATTATTTTCTAAAAATATTTTGTACTAAATCTTTAAAACCTAGTGTGTATTTTGCATTTACAACACATGTGAATCTAGACTGGCCACATTTCAAGTGCTCAGTGATCACAAGTGGCTACGGCCTACCACAGTGGCCATCATAGGTCTATACCACTATGAAACTGGAGCCAGAAAACAGGGAGTAATAGCATCAATTCTGGACCAGGTTATAATCCTGCAATTCTTTCTGCTAAAAAGAAAAATAAAATAAAATTTTGATTATGAAAATGTTCCAGTGGGTTAAACAATAAAGGACCTACTTTTGCAATACTTTCTTTCAAATTTTAGTACAATTTCCTGTTACTCCTTACCACCCCCCTCAGATTGGTCCCTCCAGCATGAGCAGTCCTATCAATCTATGAGCAAAGGCGGCCAGGTAGCCTCATTAAAAGCTCTTCAGGCTCAGCCACAACCAAACCATTTTACCCTAGTTTCCTCTATTTCTCAGAAATTCAGTTTACTTATCTCCTCTGCGAACTAACTTCCAACCCAACTGGTAACAAGAGCTATCAGAATGCAAAAGTGTGATGTAAAAAATATCCCTTCTAGAAGCTAACCTGCATGGGATTTCCCAAAAGCAGAAAATCAGACCATGGAAAACCCAGGCTTTCTCATAATCTAAGATGTTCCTACCAGTCCACATGATCTAGAAAGTTCATCAGTAAAATTCTAAGAACTAGAGAGATTCTGACCATGATATTATGAGTGCAAATGATTTTAAAGAAAATAATTTCTCATTTTAATTACTAACTTCCCTTCCCTTCTTTTTTAAACAGATTCTTTTTCTTTTTTTCTGAAGAGTCATCCTTACTTTCCCACAAGATGACAAACAGTTCTATCTTCTGTCCAGTTTACAGAGATCTGGAGCCATTTACATATTTCTTTTATTTAGTTTTCCTTATTGGAATTATTGGAAGTTGTTTTGCAACCTGGGCTTTCATCCAGAAAAACACAAATCAAAGGTGCGTAAGCATATACTTAGTGAATTTGCTTACGGCTGATTTCCTGCTCACTCTGGCACTGCCAGTGAAAATCGCTGTGGACTTGGGCGTGGCACCCTGGAAGCTGAGGATATTCCACTGCCAAGTGACAGCCTGCCTCATCTACATCAATATGTACTTATCGATTATCTTCTTAGCATTTGTCAGCATTGATCGCTGTCTTCAGTTGACACACAGCTGCAAGATTTACCGAATACAAGAACCTGGATTTGGCAAAATGATATCAACCGTAGTGTGGGGAATGGTCCTTCTAATAATGGTGCCAAACATGGTGATTCCTATCAAAGATATCAAGGAAAAGCCAAACGTGGGATGCATGGAATTCAAAAAGGAGTTTGGGAGAAACTGGCATTTGCTGACAAACTTCATATGTGTAGCTATATTTTTAAATTTCTCAGCCATCATTTTAATATCAAACTGCCTTGTAATTCGACAGCTCTATAGAAACAAAGACAATGAAAATTATTCCAATGTGAAGAAAGCTCTCATCAACATACTCTTGGTGACTACAGCCTACTTCATTTGTTTTGTTCCGTATCACGTTGTCCGAATCCCCTACACGCTCAGCCAGACCGAAGTCATATCTGACTGTCCAACCAGGATCTCCCTCTTCAAAGCCAAGGAGGCCACGCTGCTCCTGGCTGTGTCGAACCTGTGCTTTGACCCTCTCCTGTACTATCACCTCTCAAAGGCATTCCGCTTAAAGGTCACTGCGACCTTTGCTTCACATAAGGAGAGCCAGGCTCAGAAAGAAAAACAAAGTTGTGAAAACAACCCATAGAATATGGGATTGCACTATAACTTTATGCTACCACTTCTTCCCTTGCTGGACAGTAAGTACAAAACGACTGGGAAAGAGAAAGAAAAGAGAGTCCCAGAGCAAGCAAATGTGGCCTGGTTTACTGTGAAGCCCTGGTTTAAATGCAAACCAAACAGTACTTAACAACTTTGGTTGTTAAGCCAAATATTTGTACAAAAAAAAAAAAATTCTTGCTGAACCAATGTAAAATCCTGCAATATCCTTGAAGTCCAAATGACTTCTATGTCACAGACACAGAAGTATTCATGCGGTATTCACTGAAATACCTGGAACTGACTTCTTGATAAAAATATGCAAAATACAGGTGACCCTTAGAGATTTGAACTGCATGGGTCCACCTGCATGCAAGTTTTTTTCAATAAATACGTACAATACTGTAAATGTATTTTCTCCTCCTTATGATTTCCTCAATAACACTTTCTTTTCTCCAGCTTCCTTTATTATAAGATTAGGATATATAATGCATATAATGTATAAAATATGTGTCAGCCAACTGTTTATGTCATCAGTAACGCTTTGGGTCAACAGTGGGCTATTATCAGTGGCTACATTTTGGGGGAGTCAAAAGTTATATGCAGATTTTTGACTGTGCAGGGTCAGCACCCCTGACCTCCTCCTGTTCAAGGGACAACTATAAACTCTATATAAGTTGCCATAAAGCCCTTCAGTAACACAGTTTAAAACCCTTTAGATCACTTTAGGGGAAAAAAAACAGCTTCCTTTTACATGAAACCACCTGTGCCTGATTTATTTTTAACCCACCACTTCAAAGAAGATAATCTTTTAGCTCACCACTCCAATTTTTAACATCTAATTGTTTTCTAACATAATAAAGATTTTTACATCCAAAAAGGCTAAAAAATACATGGGTAGTTTTTAATGTACTGTAGATACTTATATTCTATTTGAAATTATAAATAAAGCTTTTCTACTGTTAGTAATGACAAATCCAGTGGTTTCTTATTTTTATTGTGTAGTAATATGAAATAGACTCTCTAACATTTTCAAAGGGAGCTGTTAAATCATACTAACTGCTAAAACTACTGTTTTAGAACTAGAAACTCACATTAAAGTTATGGAAAAAGAGCATCAGTCAAATGGCCCTAAAATAGATGTGCTGACTCCATAGCGAGGCCTCCTCAGGAACAGAGCAGTGTGGGACTGACTGTTACTCAGATCCTGAAGGTGAGCCAGCAGACTCAGTTCTCAGGGTCATACCCTTTGATCTCTCTACTGCCAGTAATGCAGAAAGAACTCAATAGATGGTGAAATAAAAGGCTTATTTAGAGAAAAGAAGACTGGACAAGCATCCATGAGATTTTTGTGGGGTTTTCCATCTCAATAGTAAAAGGTCATATTAAAGCAATTGGTAATCCATTAACATAAGCTGCAATGACTAAGAAACAGTGTTCCTGGAAGTTAACGAAACAAGTTTGATTCCAGACTCCTTTTAAATCCGCACTGAGAAGAATTATTTTCAACAGCCTAACCCAACACAATTCCTGTTTACAATTTCTCAAATATATTCTCGGAGTTTGAAGAGAATTATAAATGAGAAAATGCTCACAAAAAAGTGCCTGTTACACTCCTAACATGGTAAGTATTGAACAAATGCCAGCTAGCTAGCAGTAATGACAGGATCCCCCATCAGCATCACAGGTTTGACCCCAACGGTGTAAATGACTCACCTGTGCTCCAGGCTGCTGGGATGCCTGGCCACTAGCACCTGTGCTCATTGGTAGTTTAAGAACATGTTTTTACTGACAGGCAGATTGAGACATTATTCCTGTAAGAGCATACACGAAACTAGTTTATTTTTCAGAACCTTTTGGTCAAGCCCCTTTAGTCCTCTCTCCTTGGCCTTCACTCACTAGGGCTACATCTTAGAGAGAGGTTAAGAAAAACTGTTTTAAAAATCATATTCTTATATTCTCCTCTCAAGCCTGGTAAGTTGGCCAAATTTTCCTTTTTTAGTAAGGAAGAGAACCAGACTCTACAGCATTCCTAATGCCCATGTTATATTAGCATATACTTTTATTTCCTTTATTGATGACTTATTCTAAATTACACTCACAGTAAAGGGGGTTTAGGGCAACCGGTGATAGAAGGCTTTAAGTCCATCCCAACACATCCATTTTCCAGAAGCTCTTTTTATGACTGCAATACAGTTGAATTATGTCATAATTCCTCAGGAGAACCATCCATCAGAAGTCATTCATGGCCTGGCCGGGCATGGCTCAGTGGTTGAGCGTTGGCCTAGGATCCAGGCGATCGCAGTTCAATTCCCAGTCAGGGCACATGCCAGGGTGGTGGGCTCCATCCCCAGTCAGGGGCATGCAGGAGGCAGCCGATCAATGACTCTCTCATCATTGATGTTTCTCTCTCTCTCTCTCCCTCTCCCTTCCTCTCTCTGAAATCAATATATTTAAAAAAAAAAAAAAAGTCATTCATGTTCTTTCCTCCAAGGAAATGGACAGTCTTTAGAATATTAAACGCTGGGAATGACTGTCGCTAAGGATCACATGAACAAAAGAATGAAGAAGTCCATGCATGCGGAGCACCCTGCTCTGACCCCAGGCACGTGGAGGGGAGCCCTGCGAAGCCCGGCTCACCTGAGAGGAACACAGAGCCCTCACCAACGTCAACCATTTTCAACATTTCGCCATATTTACTTCATTTCCCCTCTCCATTTTTTTTTTTAAATAAACTTTTTACTTTGCATTAATATAAAATTTATAAGAAAGGTACAAATATAGCAGAGTTCCCATATACATGTCATCCCAGTTTGCCCTAATGTTAATGTCCTACATAACCATGACACATTTGTCAAAACTGGGAAATTAACATTGGTGCACTACTGTTAACTACACTCCAGACTTCAATTACTGATGTCCATCCCCCCAACTCTATTTTAAAACAAATCCCAGATATCGCAATGTTCATCCATAAATTCTTCAGGATACATCTCTAAAATGTCAAGCCACCCTTTCTGCTGCCCTTCATAAACTGTGACATTATTCCATTATGTTAAAAATGAGTGATACACACAGGTAACGGCTGAGAAATGTTGATATATTCAGCTAGTGATGAACAAGAAAGAATTATGGCAACTTTTGACATAGCCCTGGACATAGAAAAATTCATGCCATAAAAAAGGGCTCTTAATTGAAGTAAGGAGAAAAAAATGCATGCGTGTAGTGATTTTGAAAGTCATTTCAGAGGAAGTTCCAAAATAACCAATAAATAAATAACAAACAAATAAATATAGAAAACATTTAGTTTGCAGATCCAGGAAATAACATAATATATACCTCACAATTACATTTTTCTTAAAATAATAATAGTCTTCAATGAAAATTACTCATTAAAATTACACTTAAAATAAAACCCCAGGAAGAAACGATAGTGGGCCTAAGAATAAAAACACAGGTCTTGGCCCAATCTTCATTATTAAAACCAAGAACTAAACTCGTTTCCTTTAGAAGAGAGCACATCACTTTCTGACTCACACACTAAATTTCCTGGCAGGCATTTCCCATGTGCTAGCCAGTTCTTAAATTCAACAGGTCAAAATCCAAATCCATCTCATATACAACCTCTTCCAGGAAGCTCTAACCAATTTCTCAATCAGATGCTCTCTCTCCAGTCCAATATTTACTCCTGAAGAGTGGAAGAGACCCAAGAATGTCAAACAGTTCACCTTCCATTAGGCACCTGGGCCTTTACTCAATTATTGCACTTATTTGTCTCCTTCTATCTTATTCATCTTTCCTATGCCCCAAAATTCTTACTCATCTGCATAATACCAAAAGTACCTACCGCAATCCAGTGCACAAAAATGCTACTCAATATATGAGTTTCAAATTGAAATAGGAAAGCAAATTGAGATATTATTTGCAGTAACTCAAATGTTCTTGATAAAAGAATACTAATTTAGAAAATTCTGTTGAATCTAGTCAGCCGGTAGTATCACACCTCAAATTTGGACTACATATCACATAAACCGCATGATCAGAATTACAACAAAAGAAGTAACGAATGCAAACACTCACCTGCTACCACATGTATTACTCAGGCGGGTAGCTGAATAATCAGTGCTTAATAATCCTACAACGAAACAATCAGGTTGTCACTGGCTGAGGCAATGACTTACTTACCAGAGGTATGGGAAAATGTGTTGCATACTGCAGGTGTCGCAGGAGATCATAATTAGACGGAAAAATTAACTCTCTCGGTTTTTCTCTCTTCAGCAACTTCTCACCATTAACTGACATTCTTCTGCACAAGGAAGGGTTGACATTCTCACAGGACTCTCCAGGCATGGGAGAAAAAATCTAAGTCATGTAAAACAAATGTTGGAGATTGTAAATGAAAGAAAGCAAAGCCAAAACCCAGAGCTGCATGTAAAAGCTTCAAACACACAAGACATTCTATAATACCCTTTCCTTATTTAACCACTGAGCAAAATATATGCAGAAATTTTGTTAATTTCGACAAACTTCATATTCCGATCAGGAGGAAGCTGTGGCCATTATCCCCCATTTTGAAGATGAGACCCTGACAACTACAGACACGAGAAATGTGCACAGCTATATTTCCTGGAAGGCTGGAGATGAAAGCAGACTTATAGGTAAGTATTTTCCTTTTAGGGCTACATTTCCCAAAAAACACATGCACTGAAATAACTACCTAATAAAGCTAATGAATAACAAAGGTTTTAGTCTGTACCCCAAACAATATTTCTGATAAAGAGTTACTCATTAAGACCCATGGGGAAGAACACATAACTACACTTAGATAAAGGGAAAGAATGTATAGTAAGTTCAGAGCCAGGAAAACTATTATTTAGAAGCTAAACACATACACAGCATAAATGAAAAATACTATCCAGCAAATCAACATGAACTGTCCTGATAAAACTAACTACTACATTCCTTTATTCCTGCAAGATGATGATCTTAAAACGCGTTAACTAGGAAGAGAGGAGGCAGTGCCTCCAAAACTGAGGATGAACGGAAAGAAGACAGCTGCAGAGCTGATCAACTGCACCCTAGGACAGAACATACTAGGGTCATATCTATGTCACAAGGACACAGGTCATTCCAGTACCCAGGCAAGAGACAGAAAGACAGAAGCAAGCTAGGGGAAGGGTGAGGAGGGGTTAATAGTCAATAAGAATTCAAAGGCTGACCCTATTGGAAATTTTGAACCAGTCAGTTTTAAAGTCACTCTTGTCTCCATCAAAACTATTAGTAGTTCCTGAGTCAATGCCCGTATGTGCCTTAATAGTCTGTCGCTGACGATGGCCAGGGAAAGAAAGTCACATGGTGAATGCTCATTAAGAAACTAAAGCTCAAGCACGACAGGAACATTTTTAACTACCCTATTTCCTCTCCTCATGGTTTTTCACAAAATAAAGAAGTTTTAAGATAAGCATTGCTCTGTAAAGTCACACTCTTTGTCCTCATGATGAGAAAGATTTAACTTCCATGATATTTTAAAGGAAGAGCATACGAACGTCCTGATAAAAGCAGGCTGACCATAATTTCCTTCTCTGGGCTATTCCCAGTCACGTGCTCACCAACTTTTCTTAGGAAGAAAAACCTAAGAGTATATCTAAGATATAAAGTACCTTGATATCCAAGAATAAAAAGGAAAAACCAGAAACAGAGAAAAAGTCTAAAAAAGGTCAAGTAGCTTTAGTTTTCTCACCCTACATAGCTTCTACTGTGGACAAATTTGGAAACATAAGTATTTACATTAAAGAAATATATATTTTTAATTCCTGTACCATTTAGTCACCAAATCTTAAGAGTATAAACTATGAACCAATGTGTGCCATTCTAATGTCAGGTTTTTGAATGACAAGTATAGGTGCTATTTTTAAAAATATAATATTATATGCTTAAACTCTCACAGAACCAATATGAAGCTTTATTTTTAAGGATCTGTCACCATTTTCTACACTTTCCCATCACCAACTTCGTGGTTTTTGCCTTGAAAATTTCCATAAGTATCTGGAACAATGTCCAAAATATCAGAAATTGGCAGAAAGTTATAAAGTCATACTCACAGCATAAAATAATGTGTTGAAAAGAACAACTTTAAAACACTTGAGAAACACAGACTCAATTTTTCATTAACTGAAATGAAAACACGATGTGTTAAGACTAAGAAGAATTTCCCATTATGTATGAGAGAGCAATATAGGTAACAAACAGTATACACTGGGGAAGATGCCCCTCAGAATGAAAACTGAACCAGAACTTAAGGAACAAAACAAGTCCAAGTTTGAGGTACAACGTTAAAGGAAAATGGGATGGGAAACACACAGAACTGGAAGCGTGTAATCCCCACCCAAGGAAAATGCTGTGGCTGTCAAATCTTCTCACTGATCACTTTAGAGCAGCCAAAAGAAAACCCTGGAAGATGGGAATTATAGTCCACCCGTTTTTTGAGTAGGGAGTACGGATACATGAGCTTTGTAACAAGAGAATACAATTAAGAAGTGATCACCCTTCTATCAGGAAATACTCCCTCTGAGCAGGGCAGAGCAGAGGTGGGGCAGCAGGCACACCCCACAAGGCCATACCTCCATCTTCACATCGTGGTCCTTGGGGTAGTGCTCCTCAGCATTTTCTCCAGCAGGTGACCGGGGCCGCGTGGAGGCAGTGACAGACAGGTCTCCCCGGGATATGAGGGTGCACATGTAGGCATCATGAGAGAAGACGTCGTGCCGGATGAACTCACAGAAGAGCAACACCAGGTTCACAAACTCCACCTTCTCACATTCACTGTTGGGATCCGCTGTAGAAAAACAGCACCATCAAGAATTCAGTCCCCTGGACTCCGTGAAAATATAAATTAAAGAACAAAACTAAACAATTGCCTAGGCTTAACAATAATATATTCACCACTTTTCATAATTTTGTTTTTTACAAAATCAATGATTATTGGAAAACTTCCATGAGGCACTATATTGTTTCGTATAGAAATGGCACAAGTTTAGACTATCCCACTGTAACTGAAAAATACTATTCAGTATGCGAAGTACAATTTCAAGTTTAAAGAATAACCATTTAAATAATAACATAAACACCCAAAATTTCAGGTTAAAAACAAAAACAAAGACCGAGACTGCTGTCTTCCGGTTTTATCACTAAAACCAGCTCGTGGCTGTTTTTACAGTTTGAATGTCTGTGTATTTGTGGGCATGTTGTGCACGTTTTCAAAGGAGACTTCACAACAGAACCACAATTCAAATGATATTGGGGAAAAAAAGTGAGCCGGATCCACTGAAAAGAAAAAGAGAACAAACAGGAGCTCTTCAGTCATTTTTTAATTCATAACCAGTCTATTTAACTTACATTATGACTTTTAATCTTGTAACTGCACTCTAAACTTTGTATCTGTACCTTTGGGAGGTTAAAAGGGTTAAAACTGACCCTGCAAAGCTCAACCCCAGGTCCATCACACTGGCGAACACTGAGACAAACAGACGGATCCAGGGAACAGCAAACTCAGTTCCCTAAACCTCACGCCCAAATGTTGGCTCAAACCCACCACCACATTCAATACAGCAGCCTCTACATGGAGAAACAGCTTTCTCTGACAGAAAATGGGATCCAGAACAAGCAAAGGCGGAGAAGTGTTTCCCACAGAGAAAACAGGACTGGGACAGGACAAGGAAGCCAAGGGTAAACGTGCGTCTCGACCCCCAGGACACAAGGTAGGTTAGAGCTGCTAACTTCCACTGCTGACGGTATACTTTCTAACCAGTACCTCTTCTTCCTGCTTCACGTTCCGTGTTTCATTTCATTCCCTACATTCCAACCACCAGATTGACTCCAGCTGTCTCCTCTAGCCTCAACCAGACACCAAATAACTAAAAGATCCTCACCCCAGGCGTCACTCAACCCCCTTCTCAGGAGTTGGAAGCAGGACTATTTTTCGCTGTTTAATCTCTTTCTTCTTCACAAACATCTCCCATCCCCTCCCAGCCCCTCTTTCTCTCCCTTTTCTATCACTTTTCACTTTTTGCCATTTTTCTGTTGTACCTTCAGATCTACCCTAAGACCCACCTGCTGTACTCTGACATACAAAAGCCTCAGAATAAGATCAAGCCCACTTAGCTCATACACATGAATTTTTTTAAGGGCCCACCCAGAGTATGAACCCACTGGGTGGTTTGTTCTCCAAATCTTCAACTTGCCACCAACTACAGGATAAAAGACAGAAAAAGGACGTAAGATGACATGAACATCTGAGAGAGTTGGCAAGCAGCCAACCATCTTTACAGATAATTTCCTTGTATCTAGGACCTGGTTATAAAGTACTGTTGTTTGATTCCCACCCCCAGCCCACCTTTTAAGATCCAAAGTTACAAAATAAGAAATTTAGAAAACAGTTTGAAAAGAGAAAATTCCAAATCACTATATACAGTGGAAGACCACAGGACCTTAGCTTCTCTGTTTTGGTCAGAAAGATCTAGAAAGGGAGAATTAGTCCACTAAATATAAAGGAAGGAGGCGCTGTATTATTAAGAAATTTTATGTCTTTGAAGTTCACCTGATTTTAAAATTGCACAAAAGTCTCCATTAAAAACATGTCATTAAAATTTTGCTCAGTAAAATACAGATTATATTCAATGCCGAGAACTTTTGATAAGGTGCAAATAAGAAAAAAAGAAGAATCAGCTAAAAAAAAAAAAAAAAAAAAAAA